CGTCGCCGGCGACTCATGGCAGCTCAGCTCCAGGTTGAGCTGTTGTTCAGCATCTTAGCTGTGGAGGGCAGTGTCACTGGCCCTCATATGTGGGAACTGAACCGGGGCCCTCTGGCATCCCAAACCAGTTCTTAACCATCGTGCCACTCGGCAGGCCCAGTTCTATTTTTCTTATCAATTAACTTATTAGAGTTGATTCTAAGAATGTAAAATTGTAGAATTTTTCACAGAGTTCGAAATGACAGGCCTTTTGATCTCTAGCCCTTGTGTTTATACGATTACCCTGTGGTGGCCTCCTGCATGGATTACATGTCATAATTGATGTACATTGGTAAATTCACTCGTCGTGTTAGATGCAATTTGAAATAATCACATTTTCCACAATCATTGTATACTGTAGTTGTGACATTAAATTGAAATAGGCATTTAACAATGGAATACATCTTTTAGCATACATTTAAAGTACAGTTATTACTTTTCAATGAGAATACATTTTCACTGGTTTATCTTGATATCTTTTAAAGCATTCCCTTATCAATTTTTAAAACAACTTATGAAGTGTTCTTTTAAAGTGTTGGTCTTTTGAAACCATGTGAAAATAGGAAACATAACATTCCAGAAAAAGCCATCCGTGGTGTGGGCCCCTGAGCTCAGTGCTTGGGTTTCAAGGTGAATGCTGAGCTGCTGCCCAGGTCTCCCTGTAATAGTGGAAATAGCAATTTAAAGATTAAACTGAATTAAAAGTTAGAACTATAACTAGAAGTAAAAGTAGAATATAGTGGTAACAAGCAGCGTGGCATTATTAGTTCTATTGAGAATCAGGGAGCGCTTCTTAGAGAAAGAGTGTTTCTTCACACTGCCAACCCTTCTCCTTCTGGACATCTATAGGTCTGTCATTAATAAATTTATCTACCATTTCTGACTTGAGTTTCTTGTCAGTAAGTTTTATGGACTATCATGTGAAACCGATAATTTTGCTTTTTTCTGAAGTTATGCTCAAGTTTTAAGGAGGAGCTCTTAGTAATTGGAGATACAGTGAGCTTCTTCCTTCGCTTCATTTTTTTCTTTAAACTTTGCGTCCTCTGCTTATTTTACAGCTTCCACATTCCTATGCACCAGGTCAGTCCTGAATCTCCGGGCCTGGAGCAGCATCTGCATCTTACCAGCGTTTCTCTTGCACGTGTGTTAGGTTCCATTACAGCTTTCTTCAGCTGCACTAACCAGAAATACAGTTTTTCTCGTAAAAAGTACTTGCTGCTAATGTTTAATGCTACTATTGAGTTTTAAAAGCTTATTTTCTGTAGGTTAATTAAAAACTTATAGTTTCATGCTAAAGTTTATACTGGTAAATATTTATAGATTGAAAAGAAATTTTTTTCATATGTCACAGTGTTGACATAGCTCCAAGACTGTCAATTCATTTTTAAGTTTTATTCTCTGATGGAACTCATGAAGGGACAGAAAACAATATCCTGGTCTATTGCTAAGGTCTGTACAACAGAAACCTGTTATATTACACTTCATTGTTTCTGTGTTGGGATTTGCTGCTCATGGTTTAAGTGATGAAGAATAAGAATCAACCATGTGTATAATATGTACAGCCAGACTACCCTTCACACAGTTATCACGGAAGACATTTTGGTACTTCTCTTAAAGTGGGACACTGATGTCAGTGGGGTGAAGTGAGGTTAACATTTTTGACTTGTTCTGGTAGGAGATGTTTAGATTTAGTTATTAAACTAACATGTTTGAGTTCCCTACCTTTAAATTCCTAGCCTTTTCATTTCTTTTCTGAGATTGAAATGAAGTTTTACAGCCCCAAAACCAAAGCGAGTTATTGTAAGTTATTATTTAAAAGAAACATCCAGTACCCTTTGGTTGCCCTGGGATATATTAAATAAACATTTATTAACTAACTAGGTTTTTATGGAAAGCTGTCACTTGTCATAAGCATGTTGGGGTGAACAGTTATTTGTCTATTATGTACCATGTATTGAGATAAACTAATTTTTTTTTTTACTTCATATTTAAATTAATTCTTACAACCATCTTATGAAGTAGGTAACCAAGCAGCCCAGAGGGTTTTAAGTGTTTTGCCCAAAGTCGTAAAACTACTAATAGTTAAATAGGGAGCAAATCCATCAGTCTTCCTTGTTTTAAACATTTTTCGTAAATTATAGAAAATATCTCACAATATTATTTTCTTTTCTAAGACTGGAAAGAAGAAGAAAAGAGAAAATGCCATGATTGAGAGATAGTGAATGTCTTGTGTGGAAATACTTTTTGTTTTCTGGTGCATATACTTAGCCTGGGATGTTGATATGGGAGGGAGTGCAGAAAATCTTGTTTCGTCTCTTGTGGTCATACGTTGTTGTGGCTATTTCCATGCTACAGTCATTAGCCTTCATTATCCTAGGCATGTGACTTCATTTCTGAGGCCTAATCTGGATGAAATGTCCGCAATCAACTATGTTGTATAAACTTGTAAAAATATTTTAAATATGTAGAATCATATTTCTGCTACATTTGACAGACCAGGTGCATCATGAATTTGCAAGGCCTGGTTTTTCACAAGACAACTTTTTGTTTCTTTTTTAATAGAAAGATGAAAACTACAGAAGCCTCCCTCGGGATACCAGTAACTGGTCTAACCAGTTTCAGAGAGACAATGCTCGCTCGTCTCTGAGTGCCAGTCACCCAATGGTGGACAAGTGGCTGGAGAAGCAGGAACAGGTAACATAAATGAGTCCGTATACGTGCGTCATTGGTGTAACTTCCTAGTCCGTACCCCAAAATCTGTTCCCTCCATTACTATGATGATTAAAGGTAAATGAGTCTAACAAACTTTAGTTAAGTAACAGGATCTATGTCGGAGTTTGTCTGACATTAATGAGGAACATTTATGTGGTGGCCCCTGACCAAAGATTTCTCATAAGCGGTTATGAATATTTGCCGTAGATTCTGAATTATGAGTTGAGGGCATGTGATGTGGCTAAGGCATAGAGAGATGTTTGGCAAAGAATAATGCAGCTTATGAGTAGACTTTCAAGAGCACTCTTGGGTCTTCTCTTCATTCATAGGCAATGAGTCAAAGGATCTGAAGAGGCAAATTAAAATTTTCTGTTATACCTGACTTCACTTTATAAGAGAAATATATGGCATAGTATTGTTTCAGAATTTAGATTATTTGTCAGGTTTGGGGACTTATCCTTTCATAAGTGTCAAGGACCCATTTTTTTAGGTTTATAAGTTTTTAGAATTGCTTAGTTCACTCTGCATGGTAGCCACCTACAATTCGTGAAATCAGAATAGTTTTCCACTGAGTGTAAATAATGGTTTCCTGTCTTAGGAAGAATGACTGTGCAAAGTTGTTACATCACTGTTAAGACGCCTTCTCTTCTTGTGAAGACTAAGAATTTATCTGGTAAAATTTTGATGTATAAAAAACAAATTCTTCTAGTATTACTTGGTAAAGTCTTCATTATATATTGTTAGTCACAGTGTTTTCTTTGTAGTGGGAATGCAAGTGTTTTCTTTACAATTTTAATAGTTTTGATATTAAAAATCCACTTTGGTTACTTCATCACTTATTTTCTTAAAATGTTCATATGGATGGAAAACTAGGTGAGTATTCAGTAAGAATGATTTGTTTTTTATCTGTTTCAGTAATTTCTAAAATTATTAATAATTATAGTGCCTAGATACTGGAATAGCTGTTTTTCAATTTAGATAAATAATATCAGTGGAAAAAAAATCTTGAGTGTTTTAATTAATCTCAGCCTGTGTATTATAGCATAAGCCTTCTGAAATAATTTTGTGTTCAAATATGAAAAGAAAAAAGGATAGTTTGAGGCCTGCCGAGTGGCGTGTTGGTTAAGAGTTGTCTTGGGACGCCAGCTCTGTGCAGCAGGGACCCGGTTCGGATCCCACATGAGGGTCAGTGACGCTGCGCCCTCTACAGCTAAGATGGTGAACAACAGCTCGACCTGGAGCTGGGTTGCCGTGAGCTACTGTGAGTGGCCGGCAGCCAGTGTGAGCCACTGTGAGCAGTCGTCCAATGGCCAGGGAGCGACTGCCTCACCTGGGAAGAGCGCAATGATAATACCAACATGGGCCAGTGAAGCGAAATCTTCCACAACTAGACTGAAGAACAAAAGGACAGCAACTTGTCTGTTCCCCTCTCTCAATTCCCCAATAAAAAATCTCAAAAAAAGGACAGTTTGCCTTTGATACCACTGATGGTAAAGCAAAAGTATGATTTTTATCCTATAATAAATGTTAGCATACAAAAACATCATGTGACATAAATAATTTTAAATAAAAAAACATGGAAGATCTACTTAGGAAAAACATAATTTTCTCAAAATAATGCAGAATCTAAACTAACTGGTGTTATTATCTCATTATCATTTTGAAGAAAATGGTTTTAAGATTTTGATAGTTTAACATCAGCCTGGAGTCAGACTAGCTATGTATTATATGATATTTGATACTTGATTTGGCCATGTTGGTAAACTTGTCCACAGTTGACTCATTTATCATGTGGGGATAATCATAGAACTTGCTTCAGACGGTTGCTGTCAAGTGATTTAATACCTTCCGTGGAGCTAAAACAGGCTGCTAATAACAGAAAATCTAGATTGCATAATAAGGAATCATTCCTTGTTCATTTACAAGAGGCCTGGAGGAAGGGAATGTTGGGGGTTCCTTTTGTAGCTCGGTGATCTTACTGAGGATCCGGATTCCTGGTCTCTTCTGGGAATCTCCACCAGGCTCCTTGGCTCCGTGCTCAGGCTTGTCCCTAACTGCCAGAGCCCCAACCATCACATCTTTGCACAGAAAGAGGAACAGTGCCTTTTGCTTCTTTGTAGCTCTTTTTGAAAGCAAATAAACCTTTTCCACAAGCTCCCACCAACAGATCCCCTCCTGTTTTGTTGTTGGGAATTGCATTACTTATCTGCCAGGTTTCCAAATCAAAGGGAATGAAAGTACCAGGGTTGGCTTAGACTGAGTTTGACCTCTGGAGCAGGCGGTGGGGTGTGGCAGTCTGACCTTCCTAATGGTTAAACACTTCCCAGAAACACAGCTGCTCATCAGTGAACACAATCAGGGTTCTGTTAAAGAAAGGAGGAAGGTGCAGTTAGCTAAATATGCTAAATAGGACCATTTTTATTGCAGGATTAGGAGAAAAATTTGTCAGCCCAGAGTTTTTAAAACATGATATACTTAATTATATTCTAAAAATAGAACTCATCTTACTGCTGTGGTTATAGATCTGTTTTTAAGGAAGTAATATAGTTTTTCTTTGCAAATTTTGTGTAAAATAGTTTCTTTTTTAAGCAACAGGGGTTGCATTGAGAAGCCACACACATATTTTTTCCCCCAAAGACGAAGTCTTGATTTGTTTTTGTTGAAGTTATTTGAAGTATTCATTCCATGATCAGGTTTTTTTAAAAAAAATAAGTACTTTCTTTGTCTATGTCGTCTAATTTAGATGACATTAGTTATGATTCCTGAGCCTAAAAGCATCTTCCTTGGCTTAAGTTTTAAAAATGATGATCCACTCACTAAATTTAATGATTTCACATCAGCAGGATAATTAACTAAACTGAAATCAACTGGACAGCAAAAAAAAAGAATAGCAAAAACAAATCAAACTCATATTACAATATTGGCTAAAAGTAAGCACGATTGTTTGGGCAGAAGAGGACTAATAGGTTATGCTGCCTACGCTGGAAATCTCGTTCAGCTACTCTCAATTAATTGTGGATGGATTCTTTTAACTGTTCCCTGTGAGGCATCTAATTTTAATGGCCCGATGCCTCTTCTGTGGCTATTTTAACTCCTTGCCATTAAAAATATAATAAAGAGGGTGGCATCACATAGATAAAAGAATGTTTTAATGGTTAAAAAAATCAACCCTTTGTCTTTAAGATTCGGGATCACCAGAGTAGAACAGATGGCTGTCTTCCTTTAGTGATGCCGTCTGGACTGAAGAGGTCAACAGAGTTCTAGATTTTATATGCCTCCATTGGGTTTGTTTTTGCTCTATTTCCTACTAGAGTGCTTGTCTCTTATTATCTCTGGTTTTTGAAGGCAATTATGACCACATCAGCTTTGCCAGTGGGAATAAACAGTAGAGTTGAAAAGGGAAAAAAGGGTGTGGAATGCTGAAGTAGCAGGCACCCCTGGAAGCTGAAGGTGTCTTTCACTTTTTGTGGGATTGGTCCTATAGAAGAGGATATTGAATCGTCTTCTCCTCTGTTAGAATATTGATAAGTTACATTTCTATAACGAAAAGTAGGTGATATGTCTTATTAAAAGTCTGTACCAGCAAGCACTCAACATTTTTTTCCAAAAATCGCAGTCTTGCTTTTTCAGTGAGTAGTTCATCTTGCTCAGAATAGCCTGTCGTGGAATCCTATATTGGGTTCATTTCTGTGTATCTTTCAGAGAATATCCTTTTCTTAAGTCAGTCTTGTGACTTCCTTTTTCTGAGAGATCTCAGAGGAAGCACAGAGGACTTGAAAAATAAATGGGTTGTTGTTTGTATGCCTTGAAAAAGTTTTCCTGCTTCCAAATTTTGACTCTGAGACCCAAGAAACAAAAAAAGCAACAAACCCTTTAGTTTTGATGGTTGGCAGTGCTTTAAGGATTCTGATTTTTTTTTACCCATTACCATTTTCCTGACTCTGGTAGACCATAGTTTAATATTGGCGGATCATAGATCATAAGTTGACTTTGTTCTTATATCCCCACCGTTTATTGCAACTAATAAATTCCACAAAAGAGGAGGCAGGAACTTTACAGTACTGATTGGAAGAATTTAGGACCAGAAAGTAGAGGGACCTTAAGGGAAATTAAGCTAATTGGGAGGCTGCCATTTTCACTACCTTGTCTTCGTGAACAGGCCTGGAGCCAATTAACAGAAATAGCAAGGAGGTGCTGGGCACATTCCAGCCGCCACTTAAGCTTTGTTATAGGGGGAATGGCTGCCCTGACCTTTAGAGAAAAATCCATGTTTTAGGGTTCTTTCTGTCAAGCAAAAACTTCACCTAATTGGCAGATTATACTGAAGGAGGCAGAGTGTGAGGAAAACTACCTTAAATGCTTGGTGATGACACAATTCAAGTGTGACGGTGACTGCTGTATCCTCACCTCTGTACCCTCGCCTGGGAGTCCCACCATTCAGTGTCAAGTCTCAAAGTCTGAAAGCCAGGAGTTTGAAGAGCAATGACAGCGTCTTTTTTTCTTATTTTATGCATTTTTGTCACTGTCCCCGGCCATGATGCTTTTTTTTGCTTCATACTTTTTCATGCAGAACAGAACATTTCTGACTTCTGCTCATTTATTCCTCCCGAAATGAAGATGGCTAATATAGGGATAGTGTCTGTTTTTGCATTAGCCTGTATTTGTTGAGTCCTAGATGTTAGGATTAGAAAATAGATGAATGTTAAATAGAAGACATTTAAATAAAATATTGCTAGAGAATAGATGCTTATCATTTGTCTCATTTTCAAAAAAGAATAGTCCAACTATTCTAAAAGTATAACTCTGATACTTTTGAAAATACTTATGCATTACAACTAATATTCACATGATACACAATGAGTATATTTACAAATCATGGAAAAGGTACATTTCTATGCAAATTTGTTTTTACTTTTCATTTTAACTTGATGAAGACCATGTTTTGTGAAGACCTAGGGCAAAAGTAAATTTAAAAAATTAGA